CAAACGTTCTAAACATTTTTTTGGGACACCCTGTATATGCCGTGAACCACAAACCTTTGAAATTCCAACTTTATAAGTATGACCTTCTACATGCTTTAACTTCTGAGGTTTAATTTTAACCTAACCAAAATACGACATTTTATCTCCAGTCTAATGAATGGACACAGTTACCTTTTCAGCAACATGCACAGTTCTGTCCACGTGTAGCGTTGCCCATGTACTGGCGCACCAGATAAATAATCCAGCAAGAAGGCAAACCTAATAAATATAGATAAATAATCAAATTAATATTTTATAGTAATAAAATCACCCTAACCCTTACCTTTGCGTAACTTATGGTATAGTGCATTCTGTTTTTGGCAACAGCTAGGTAGAGAATAGATGGAATCACTATGCTGACTAGTGATCCGATTGAAGCTCCGGTTAATCCAAGAATAAATTCCACTAAAGAAGACGTTAAAATATGTTTCAGCTGTAGCTACTTTAGGGTAAAATCTTACCATTGGGAATGAGTATAGCTATAGTCATGTTGAACAATAAGATCACAAAAGTTAGTATGTGGAAGGTGGAAAACTGCATAGCATGGGACACTGGTAACTCACATTTGCTCTGAAACGATTAAATTCAAAATAAAAGGTGAAACATACAAAATTTTTTCAAGTCAGGAGAGAAAAGAAAGTGAGACGTCCATCGCTACACCTTCAAACTTCGCCCAAGGACATTTTCAGACAAAGCAGTGATGCAAGAAAGGGAAAAATACTATTTAGATGCTAACAAGACGACTTAGGTTTATGTACACAACAACCCCCATGGCATGAGTCAGAGATTGGAATACAAGGACACTAATGGGACCAAATACTATGACTTACAGAACTTCATGGAATGCACTGATTAGAAATAAAGAAACTAACGTTGTTTTGAACATCATAGGAGGGTAACAAGTCCTTCTTGTACACCTTAAAACTCATTTTGAATGAAATTTATTACAAGCCCTTTTAGTCATGAAAG